TATTCTTTATATTAATCGAGAGCACATCGGCAGAAATCGAACATTTAGCGGTGAAAGTGAGACTAAAATGATTCTGTAAAAATAAAGTCTTTTAATGGGTGAGGAAGAAGGGTTGTCGAGCACCGGTGCGTATACCCTGAAAGCAAACGTTTTCATTTATTCGTTAAGTCCTTAAATGTATACCGCCTTGCAAGAAATGCTAGAATAATAGGACGTAAGAATCCTCATTAGAAAGGAGGATAATCCACCGTATCAGTATATTGGTTGCTAAAAATGATTGTAGCTGAAAAGGCATTTAAAAATATAAACAAATTCAGTGAAAATAATTTAAGCGTCTCTAAAAGTACTGAGGAAGTAATTATTAGGATAAAAGCAATTCGATGTATTTTGTTCCTTCAAAACTAGTGACCAATGGATAATAGGCGATTTTATGCTTCTCTATTAATGAGTGAGTGGCGGTTTCATGTGCATTAGTCTATAGACAGGTAAATGTACAGACTTATTTCAATTCTCATTAAAAAGTATCACAAATCAGAAGCTTGGCACAATGTGGCTGCGATAAAAGTTCTGTACTTTTTTATATGTCAATAAAGAAGGCTTTTAAGGTAAAAATAATAGTGGAACAATAATTCTTCAGCGCATGTGTTTGCTCAGCATGCATCCTCGCAAATGTTAGTATTGTAATACTAAAACATCCCTGCCGAATAGGAACAAACAGTCTAAATGCATGAATGTAAAAGCAGGAATACAAGAAATTGCACATTCTTTGATAATGACTTGAAAGGGTACCGGGATGGGAGGAAAAATAAATATTTCGAAGGCAACTTTCTAAGGAATATTTTCTACACTCGAACCAACATAAAGTTGTACGCATAGAAGTCTATGGATGTATAGTCGCAAGTTTATTTTAATCTTGACTTTGACATTAATGACAGGAAGTATTATCTGAGGATTTAATAACCTGTTTTTAATGATAGAAAGCTTGCTCGGGCGATAGGTAGACATTGCTCTCAATCATATTGTAGTTTAACTCATTTAGGAGTTGATATGTCCTTCCTAAACGCAGCCTTTTTAACATGTGTCTTCTGAGTTGGTGTATGGAAATTTTCAATTTCAATCATTACTTATTACGTTGTTATTATTAAGACATTTCCTCTAATTATTATTTGGTATGTGTGAGGAAACACATTACACTCTGAAAATATCAAACGAATTATGTCAAAGGACTACGTTTTGAAAGAGGAACTCCATACACTTCCGAAACGTATAAAATAACTGATATTTATAGCTTAAAAATAAATGTTTAGTCCAGGTATTTGAGCAATTGAAAAGTAGCTGTAAGCCCGGACGAAGTGCAGTTTTTTTTATATTTGATATACAAATGTTGCAACTTCAAAAATTCAATAAAATGTTTTTTTTCAAAATTCTTCTATGTTTAGCCGACATTATGATTATTTTCAATTAAGCATTCTGTAAGCTGACCACCAAAATTTACTTCTGAACATTCTCTCAGTCTTGATTCTGTTTAAAAAGCGCTTCAGAAAACAATACGGACATGAAAAAATACAGTTATTCCTTTTTAGTTGTTCTGCAAAGCAGGTACCACATAATGTAATGGTTTTTGCGCTTATTTACCAACAATAGTCAAGAGGATAAGGTCAAGGTCGGAAAATGTCTTCACCTCATATTTTTGGCGTTATTTCTGTATAATAACTTGTAAAATGTGCATAAAATTAGGGTTTTCAATATGAAACGGAAAATATTACACACAACATCGCCTTCTGTTTTTTTCGTGCGAACTTAAAGAACTACTACTGTTCGGTGCGTTGCCAAACACTCAGTATGGAGCTGCAACCTGATTGGTCGATATGGTCGATGAAAATAGTATAAAAGCTGCTAAATTCAGGTTAATTAGCGAAGTCCTTGTACAACTTGTCCTTGTATGCAAGCTAATTCCCTTTTCGTTTCCGAATACATAGTTGAAGTAGTTTTAGCATGATAATAAACCTCAAATATGTAATCAGATTTCTGATTATAACGTGATATAGAGTTAAATAGATAAGCATACAAAATGCATTACATTTAAAAAAACACCTGTTACAAGACAACTGTTTGACTAGTTTACATAGTCTAAGCTGCTTAGTTGAAGTAAATGTTACTAATGGGTTTGTAGTAAAAGTTGCAATCAACAGCTGTTTCAAATGTTATTCCTTTTTTTTCATTTTTAGTAACGTTTTCATCCCAACTCAGAATGCAGACTCCATGGTTTCTGCCTCACATGGTTGTTCTTTTCGCCATGCTGGCGGCAGTAAGTAGTGCTTCAATCAACCGACAACCCTCGTGGATGGATGAATTCCTTTTAAACGAACTTTCTGGTGGAGAAACAGAAATGATAGCGAGAAAGCGAGCTGGTGAAGAGGCTATGCAGCCCCCAGTAAAGCCACCGGCTTTTAGCAATCCTGAAGCCCTCCGAAACTACATCAGAAAAGTAAATGAGTATTTTGCGCTTATTGGACGACCTAGGTAAGAATACCTATATTCCCACTCTACATATTGACATCAAGATATTAATAATTGTCCACTGCTTGCATCATTTTTTATTCTCCTTTAAGTCATGCAAGAACATCGTACCGTTTAAAATGTTTTTGTCCTGACAGATTATGTGCAACTTGAGAGAAAGTTCTCTAACCCCATAATTAGTTTATATATAACCACAGTTTCCTCCGACTATGGTTTTTTGAAAGGAAACATGACAACTTTGAAAGTATATGTCTACCTATGACCCTGTCACATTCTCGTGTGTTTAAGAGCAACTAAGAATCTTATAACTAGTGACAAAATTCAACCCTTGCAATCAAACATTATAATAATCGAACACAGGATATCTACTTGTTCCGAAATTAAATGTGCATGAATAGCCAATCATTTTGAGCATCATTTGAGAATAGCTTGCTCTCCCTGAGTATTTAGCCATATTCAGTGTCCTCTATAAACCTCTTCCTTCTGTAATTGCCAGTGTCCATTTTAATGGCTGATGATCAGCAGGAAATTTATCCTTTTATTATATAAACAACAAACGGCCTAATTTTTGCCAGAATTATTATAAAGGTTTGAAAACCCACACCAGCATTGGAAAAATGGTAAAGATCAGTTATTAGGAGGTTTGGCAGATTTGCTTTATTTGACTTGACCCAATTGTGAAAATACTTGAGGCGTTCGGCGGGATATGAACGCCTCGAAATAGTAACGGTTACTATCAAATTGCATGCTTAATTTTTCTTCTGATGGCTGGTTACATACTCTGCTAATTGTTAAAACAAATAAAAGCCTTTATAAGTTGTTAAATTAGAAAAATTATAGATATCTTACTTCTGAGCCCAAGATTTTTGCAGATTATTCTATTACAGTTGATTTAAACACTTTAAAATGCTGACTTGGGAATTATTACCGTAAGATACTTTCTTCGCTTTCTTTCTATTTAGGTTCGGGTGAGGACCTTCAGTTTTCATATCTCCTCCTTCGATCAACATTCTATGAATTTCCCACCTTGGTTATTGTTTTTTAACCTATCCATCGGCAATGGTCCCACATTAATTAACTACCTGTCTGGAAGTGCCCACCGGGCGTACTATTTTTAACAATACAGACTGTTTTCCAAACAAGACAAAGTGTTTTCCTTTGTTGGATACATGAGGGTTATCCTATTAATAAAGCAGAAGTGTATAAAGGGGACTATTTTGGATTTAATTTTCAGTAATACAAGGTTATAATTATCCCTATCCCTTAAAAGCATCCTTGTGAACTTCGCTCTCTCATCATTGTATGCTTTGGACTCTTTGTTAAAAATAATTGTCACAAAAAGGCACAACGGTTATTTTGCGGGGATTCAATTTGTCCTTAAAAGGGAACAACTTTCAGAAATTTTCAAAACAATTAAGTATATGGTCGCAGCCAAACCAGAATTGTTTTGGACAAATTACGTCTCAGATGGCAGAAGATACTAAAGCTGTCGGCAGTAATCAGTCTTTAACAAATTCTCCTTCTCCTTTTACCTAGCTCATCCAAGTTAACTTCACCGTCGATAAAGGTCCTCATAAACATTTGACACTCTCCAGTATGCACAGCTTTAAATATGTATTAAAGGTACGAGTTAAATGACATGACGGATTCGAACTTTTATTGGTATACTCACCGCACTATATCAATTACACTCCATTAAATAAACGTTTACATTTGCTCTTTTTCTGGTCAACATAAGGCAGAATAAAGTGTATTGCGTAACTAGACTGCCGTTTATCGCAAGTCAACAGGCAGGATACCTATTTTAAAAAGCAAGTCTGGATTGTGCCAAAACTGGTTGAGGATATAATTATATTTTTTTACGCTTCGGCAATCGGTCATCTAAATGGTGGAATAGGAACCCAAGCATCCCGAAACTTATCGGATCCACCGCACCTTAACTCTTTACGATATTATCTGCCGAGAATTATCCTGGAAGACACAAAACTATAGGCCGTAGACGGCGTGTAACTGG